ACCGGATGTCTGGAAAATGTCGGATTAACTCTCCACTACGATCTTATCTAAATCAACTGGTGAGTCTGAGAAAAATAGTAAAAAAAATTCCTTCTCACATTTTGGTGGAGTTATAATGATTTTAAAATTGGTTCTTTTGCTATGTTTAACAACTCAACAACACATTCATTATCACAATAACGAGTAATACAAATTTTAGTTAATATTTTCCTGGCCCATGACCATGTTTAATTACCATTTCAGTTAGAATTTGATAAAATTCCATTTGACAACAATGTTTGCCTGATAAAAAGCGAAGGTAAAAATCAGCAAAAATCGAGTAAGCAGTTAAAAATGTTTGACATATCAAAAACCCTACGTTTAAAATGTTCGCAGTTAATTTTAGGTCCCCTGGTGTTTTATTTTCGGATAAATTTAAAGGAATCTGGTGTCTTGTTGCTGGATGAACTTGAAAAAACCTGAGCTTTTAGTGTTTTATTTTTTTGTTTAATTCGGGAGAATAATAAAAAATCCACCGTATATTATTTTTGGGGGACATTTTTTTGTTCTATTTTGGAAAATTCTGACCTGATCTGTTTTTGAGTTAGTTTTGGGACCCCTTTTTTTTTTGAAAAATTTAAAACAATCTTGAGTGTCTAGGTATGGTTTGGAAAGAATTTCAAAGTTTGTCTGTTTCCATATTGGCGTATAAAGTTGGGTTAGGTGATTCAGCACACAGCCAATTATTTATTTTTATTTCTACTATTTTGGTGGTACCGGTTTCAGGGTTCATCCCCTTCATCAGCCACCTCGTCAATAAAAATTATAACACTTTAAAAAACTCAATATTTGGTTAGATTTTAGAACTTATTAGTGTTAATACCAGGAACTCTGATGAAGGTGATGAACCCTGAAACAGATACCAGTAAAATAGTATAAATAAAAGTAAATAATTGGCTGAGTGCTGAACCATCTAACCCGAATTTGAAAGTGCTTTGGAGCCTCTAATGTCTTTTCTTATAATACGTAATTTAATTAAATTTCTTAGAGGACACGTCATTTTCCAAAGTCAGTTTTATCTTAGCAGGTACTAGACGCACCCACCCGCCCTCTATTTTCTTATAAAATATATCATTTGCCAAAATCAGTCTTATCTTAGCAGGTACTAGCCCCGCCCACCCACCCTCTCGTTTCTTGGAAAGTATGTCATTTGTCAAAATCAGTTTTATCTTAGTAAGTAGGTACTGATGACTAACTTTTACAAAAAATGACCAAAATTTGGAAACATTACGAGCTTACTTATATGCACAAGACAGGAATTTTGAGTAGTCTAATGTTTAGTTCGTTATGCTTCAATGGATTTTTCTTTTGTTGGTTTTGTTTTTGTTTATAATTTATAAATGTCGTATTAATATTAATTTATTAATGTCTTGGTTTATTTATTAATCAAAAATATCAGCTTGTTTTATTAATAATAATGCAATTAATGACTACTAGTTGTTATGTCTAAAAAAAAAAGTGTATTTCGGCCACCATCGTTACTAAGAAATCAGAAAGTAAGCCGAAGGTATTTACGCATTAGGTGTGTGCAGTGTTGCCAATTTTACTTTTATGAAATTACGTTTTTTTCGTAATCTACATTATAAAGAATGTTTTTGTTACTTTTTTGGAACTCCCGAAACCCCCGTACATACGTACTGAAACGTTAATCGGCCATTTTCAGACACGCGGTATATACAGGGTGATGAAAAAAAGGCGCCGACGATTTTAACTAAAATGTCCTTTTCTGTTAAAGCATCATGAAAATTGCAGCAAAAGTGCTATAAATATCTTTTCTTTTACTTTAAACCATTTTTCTAGCAGCAGAAAATGGCAATACTGCATAAATTTAACTTTCTTTTTTGTAAAATTAATAATTCACAGGTGCGTTGGTCTCCTAGAAACTGAAACTGACATCTACACTAAACAAAAACGACTGTCAAATTGCATACATTTTATTATTTTTATAAATCTTAATTTATTTTAATTAAAAACTACAAAAACTATTAGAGCAATTGCTCGAAATGCCTGCCTTCCACTTCAATGCACAAATTTGCCCTTCTAATTAAATTTTCCTTCACTCTCTGGAGCATAGGGGCATTTATCGTTCCAATAGTTGCATTTATTCTGTCTCTTCATTCTGCCAAGCTATTTACTGGGGTAGCATATACGAGATCTTTGAGATGAACCCAAAGAAAGAAATCGCACGGATTTAGGTCTGGTGACCGAGGAGGCCATGCAATCGCACCACCTCTACCAATCCACCCATGTGGATAAGTCTCGTCGCACCAATTCCGGACTATTCTTCCAAAATGAGGAGGTGCGCCATCCATCTGCAACCACATATTCCTTAAATTAGCGAGGGGCAAATCCTCAAGCAAAACTTGAAACTCATTTTGTAAGAATTCTAAAAAATGTTCTGCATTTAGTCTTGCAGGCAATTCAAATGGCCCTAGAAGATTCATGTTAATAATGCCAGCCCAGAGATTGAAGCTAAAACGTCGTTGATGGGCACGAGGACGGACAACGAATGGGTTTTCAGTTGCCCAAAAGTGATTATTGTGCTGGTTGAATACACCATCCTGAGAGAAAATTGACTCATCTGTCCATAAAATGTTGTCAATAAATCTAAGGTCGTTTGCATGACGTTGAAGAAGCCATTCGCAAAATTGCACTCTGGCAGGGTAGTCACCTGGACGAAGAACCTGTACCTTGATGTAATGATAAGGATGATAATGTTCATCAGCAAGTATAGCTTGTATCGTTCTATAATCTACTTCAAACTCTCGTGCTAGTCCTCTAATGGTTCGCCCTGGTGGATTTTCAATAGCTTCCAAAACAGCTTCCTCTAAAACTGGCGTACGAACTTCACGCGGTCTTCCACGATCTACATAAATCGGCATAATTTGACCATTTTCTCGTAATCTTTGCTCCACTCGTCTAATAACTTTATCATCTGGATGACGTCCTTGTGGATAAAGTCTAGCATATTCTCTTGCAGCTTCGACTGCGTTATTAGCTGCTGCGCCTAAACAGATCACCATGTCAAGATCTCACTGAAACTGTATGTGTAATTTTTTTGAATATTTTTGATTGACACACGTTCAAATGTGACAAAACAAAATAACAATGAAAATAAAAGTATTGTCTTGTTACTATGGTTCACAACAATGAATATCCTAGAAAGTTCGCAATGTTGCATGATTGCTAAATTTTCTTTGGGGTCGAGAAATGGTACTTTTATATTTTTAATAAAATTGGTTTGAAGAGGTTATTTGTTTGTTTTTGTGGCAGTTATTATCAATTGCATCAAAATAAATTATCATAAAATTCGTTATCCTATAGGTTTCTGTTACCAAAAAAGGAAAGCTTACATCTTCGTTAAAAGGCAATGAAATTAATTTTTGTTTTCGATTTCTTCTACAGTTAAAAATTACTTCTAACATGACGATTAACTTCGGCGCCTTTTTTTCATCACCCTGTATTGTTACAAATAAACCCATACGCCGCCCCGGTACGACGACTATAGGTTTTCTAGTATTTGCGGCAATGATGGGTGACTTACGGTCGGGGACGGTGGCCGGACGGCGTTTGCTAAAGAAAAGCCCGGAAACGGGTATCGCGATGGGTGTTCCGGAACAAACCTAGAAGCGGTGACGGAGACTTTAAAGAAGTAGCGTATAGTGAAATTCATTTCAGTCGAAATTATTTTGTACATAATCGCTCTGTAATAAGTCGTGTAAATTTGAATTGCTAAGAAATAAATTGTTGAGTTTTCCCCACGCCCATTTTAAATCACCGATCAATGTAACAATATATTGTATAAATACAAAATTTGACAACAATCAGTTCAGTAATTTCGAAGATTATCTATCGATCGGCACAGACATATGACAGACAGACAGACGGAAATAGGAGACCTATTTATCCTATTCTAGGGATCATGAAACATTTAGAAAACATATTACTTCCTTACCTTGCACTCTGGAAGTAAAAATTTTAAAAAAGTTAGTGGCAGAATGGGAAAAAATAGGACCCAAAATAAATCCAAGCATAAATTAAAATGATGAAATTTGGTAAGAAAGCAGAAAAATATTAATAATTTGAATTGGGAAATTCGTATTTGAAGAAGTTCACTTCAGATACCTTGGAGTGATGTGAGCAGGCAATGATAAGAGAGAAAAATAAAACAAGGAGAAAATACTGATAACAAATAAAGTATTCCATACGAAGAAGATGTCATTAAAGAGTAAATCTTCGGAAAAATGTCAAATTGAATGTCTTCAAAACAATAATTTGATATATGCCACTGAACCAAAGACAAAAAAAAATTAAGGACAATACTGGAACCAATAAGATTAAATGAGAATGAACTATGAATTAATAGAAGAAATAGGTGAAAATGTGATAAAAAAAAAGCAAACAACAGTAGGTAAAATAGGTGGGGTACATATGGAGAACAGAACTAGAATATTTTCGATGTTAGAATGGAAACCGAGGGCAAAAAGAAAAAGAGGAAGCCCAGATCGAAATGGTTACAGGAAGTGAAAGAAGACCTTAATAGGGTAGGAACTGACAACTGGTAAGGAGAGACAAGGAACAGGAAATAACTGCGGAGAAACATAAGCGAATAAATATACCTCACATTAAAAATAGGAGACTGATTTACCCTGATAAATTAGATCTAGCTGAAAAGCGGCGTTACACCTGCACGGGGTGTTTTAATCAGTATCTATAAAACGCTAATAATTATAAGTAGAGAGCGAATTTATAAGCACAAAAAAATTAAGAATAAGCGCTTAAAAAAGCACAACATTTTCAATAAAAAAGTTTTATTTTAAGCAAAAAAGCATTAAATAAGCATAACACTTTCATTAAAAAAGTTTTATTTTAAGCAAAAAAGCATTAAAAACATAATCATATTACAAATCAAAGAACACTTCTCAGAACTTTGGATAAAATATTATTACAATAATCCTAGACTTTATATTTTACACACGTATTTCAGTTTTCTTTAAAACAATTTATCATTGTAATATGTTCCAAGTTGTCCACTGTAAAATTTTTTCGCCGATCATTTAAAATGTGTTTAAAATTGGAGAATGTGCGTTCAACATCCACACTCGTTGTTGGCGCAAATTTGAATTTTGCAACTAATATTGAATCTAACTCCAAATTTTCCACCTTCTGGCCTTGTAAAACACGAGCAACGTCGGAAAGAACACTGAAACCTGAATTTTTATTTAACACTTCGTCAAGTTTTTGAGATAATCTAGTACTTACCAATATCACCCCTTACTGCGTTTGCTTGTTGTTTAAATTCTTTCACTAAGTTTATGGCATCTACCAACAACATGTTGGGTTTTTCTAACTTTTCTATTACCTCACATACGAATTGATAATTGCTTCTTAGAAAAGCTAGATCTTGTCGCAAATCTTTGTTTTCCAAAATATTTATGCAATCTTTAATCGATTGAGAAGAATCTTCGCTAAACTCTGTAACTACTTCCTCAAATTCTTTGATATATTTGTCATAATAAAATGTGGTCTGTAACCATGTTCCCCACCTCGTTACAATCGGCTCTGGAGGCAATGGTATGTTTGGAAAATTTTCCTTAAAATGTTGCACTCTTATTAGTGGGGCTTTAACAAAAATCTTTTTACCATTTGCCACTAATTTATTAACAGTAGGAAACTGCAAACCTATTCCTTCAGTCACTCTGTTTTAGATCGTGGGCAATGCAAGTAGAGTGAATTAAATTCGGGTACAATATTTTTAGATTATTCCCTGCTTTCAACATATAACGAGCTGCATCCGAGATCATGAATAAAATTTTATTCGCCGGTACGGCATTTGGCAAAAATAGTGACGTAAGACTGTCATTTACAAATCTGGTAATCGTATTGCCATTTGTTTTATCTAACATTTTCAAACTTACTACATACCCTCGACTAGGGAAATTTTCATTTAAGATTCCAACAATTAAACTTGCCACGTATCTTCCACAACTATCGGTTCTTTCATCGACAGCGAACCATAAATAATTATCTCCAATGCGATGTTTAATTTCGTTGTAAACTTGCTGAAACACTGGGCCTACATAATTTTTTCGGAAAGTACTTTCAACCGGAATATGTCGATTGCAGTGTTTTTCAAGGAATTCTTGAAGAGGGCCTTTCTCCAATTTTTTTAAAGGTATATTGGACTGGATCATCATAAATCGAAATTAAACTGAAACCGCTCATCTTTTGTGGAAGTAGATGCAACAGATTCGTGTATGGTCTGCTGTTTAATTTTAGAAACTTCAAACATTTTCTTCCTTTCTACATGAAGAGTCGTTCTGACATGTTGCGTCACGTTATATTTTTTTATCACTTTGAATCTAAAACAACGTACATATACAGAATTAACAAAGGAAAATAGATAAAAAAAAATTAGTGGGCTTACGGTTTTCACACAAGCTCTGCAGAATATTTTGTTGTTTTCTAATTTTTATTCTGGAAAACCCCTTATCCACTCATCCGGCGTCGATTTTACTTTCGGCATTCTTTTAAAATATTAGTAATATTACCAAAAAGAACTCAACATGTAACAAGGGAGAACCACGTATAACACTGTACTACGACAGATGCGATAGACTGATGGTTGTGAAATAAACGGTTCATTTACTTAAAAGTTTCCATTAGAAAAATTTTAAGGTAGGTAGGTGGGTACAATAATCCTTTTTTCTAGAAAATCCTCAACGGTCTTGCCGCAAAATGCCGAAAAAGAACATCTGGTTAAAAGCTTTCATTCATTATTATCAACGGAAGTAAGGATTTAAAGTCATAAAATCTATGGAGTATTTTTCCAATCCTATAATAAAATTTTATTACCCAAACGACCGGAACCTATTCACAGAAAGGGTCTTGAGTAAGTGTACTTCAATGATCAAGTCCAGGTAAAATGCATACGATACGATACGGCTAATTAACAAGTATTTGTCATCCCGACAAGGCCGGCATTTGAACAAAATATGCATTAAAGCTCATATTCGTCGAAAAAAGCATTAAATAAGCATATAAGTTTTAATATGCATAAAATTGAAGAAAAAGCAAATAAGCATAAAAAAAATGTGTCAAATGGCTCCAAATTGTATCATAGTTACAGATATAAAAAAGTTTGGAAGTGCTTACATTTTTCACAAAAAGCATTAAACCTAGAAATCCGCTCTCTAATTATAAGTTGTAAATGGTGGCACATTTTTTCGCCTTTGGTACGAAAATCATTTATAGACACACTATATTTCTGCAACGATTTAAACATGAAAAACTTACCTGCGTTTTGTTCGAGTTATCCCCACCCGTCATATTTCTTTTATAGGTCTACCAATCTGCTGAGCTTGATTTGAAAATTTGAAACAAGTGTAGTGTGCAACAATATAATAATTTTTTTAACGAATCACATTACATTACATAAAAAGCAATTGCTAACCGGGTTTATTACTACAAATTTTACCAAAAGTGCTTTTTCGAATCATTCTACGGTTTCTCTAATTGCTTACTCGACTAACGTGTTCACGAAGTTTTCCTACGTATTTCGTCGTTAATAAGAGGTTCATATTGGGAAAATTGTTCATTCAGGACCACAGTCGACCATTATTATACATCATAACCAGTAATAATTAAGCTACTATTGGAACGGCTTGTGTGCGTTTTCGTAACAAGGCAAATAATATTAACTAATATTACAAATCATTCTATTGAAAGCCGTAGCGGACATCTGACAAATGCCACGCTCGTGCGCGTCATGAAAGGTAACCAGACTACGTTGTTTCCTATAAGGGTTAGTTAATAAATTAAACACGCTTGCTCCCCGTAACATAAATAATAAACTTGAAATTAAAAATTGTATATAAGATTTTAGCGCCATCACACAAAAATTCACAAAAATGTCCATATATCTCGAGACAGGTGAAATTATTTTTTTAATATAACGTCGCCTGGAGCGCCCTCTAGATTCTCACCGTCCCGTTAACGCCAGCTTAAACCGGAGTAAAAAGTCCACGTTCAAGGACATACAAGGGATTTATGGGGTCGACGGGGTGCTGAAGTGTCACGGCGTCCACACCCACGAAACATTAGTATAAATAACTGGGAAATTTATTACAATTCCAGCATTGTCCCGATAATTACGGCCTGCAACTATAATAAATAAGTCGAGTGTAAACCGGAGAATAACACTGATACCGTTTTAAATAGTTTGGTATTATTATATGGCGTTGCGCAAGAGGCACTTTCTCGCTTATGAAATTCGAGTGACTTTCTAAGAGCACTGATAAAATCGATTCTTTGTCTCGAGCACACGAATAGTTTCCTTGAAAACAGAGCTGGATTCGAAGTATTTGGAGTGACTTTGTTTTTAAATTAAAAAAAGTTGTGGGCACACGTGGAATATACGGTCGCAAGAGGTAATTGAGCTTTCACGGGGCTACCGGAAGCAGCGTGAACTTAGCACCTATTATTTTGTCAATAGAGTGTGAAAGAATTTTTATACCTACTTAGCGAGTTGTACGGCAGAGTTTACAGAGGTTATGACCCCTCTAATTACACAGAGTGTGTATACAACATCCTAGAAAAATGAAAGTAACAATTTTGGAGATTCTTACACTCGTTATAAATAAATTAATCATACACAGGGTGTTTCACTTAAAACGTGACGTCGAAATAACCTTTGTACTGGTATTAACAACTTACTGTAATTAGAGAATTTGTATAAGAAGTCCACAGAAGCTGACTCACCTGGAACAAGAAAGAAAATATTTAAAATATTTAACAATACTTCATTAATTAAAGCTATATTTGATGTATTTATTTAGATCACAAAACGCGAATTTCAAAAACACATGTACACTCTTCGAGATCGTTTGAGACTAAACAGTAATCTAAGTAGAGATGTTGTCGAAATAACGAAAGTGTTAAAGGCCGACTCAGACGTAGGCATAATTGTGGGTTTTCAGCATCGCTTAAACCCTAATAAATCAGCATTCACAAGGATTTATCTGACTCGGTTTAGTCTGTTCTATTTCTTCTCTGGTTTAATAACAACTGTAAGTATGTCGTTCATAATATAGTAAGCTCATAAAGCACTGACGTGTACCACGGAACCCAGCCACAAACGAAACACTTCTGAGTATTGATCTATTAAACGTACAGAGATGCAGAAAAACCAGAAGTTGTCCTTAAGTGTGACAACAAAAACTGAAATACTGAACGACACAAAGTTGTTATCGTAGAAAAAAATTAACAAATCTTTGAATATTCAAAAAAGCGTGAAATATTCAGTGATTAAGCTACAAAAACCCAGCTCAATATAATCAATGTAAACAGTTACGTTTTTAACCTCGCAGGATAAGTGAAATATCACTTCATCTACGCCTACTGAGCAACCAGAAATTGAGAGGTTTCGCTTATCATTATGCATAATATTAGAGTAATAATGGCTATTTACGGAAACCGTAGTATAAAACATAAACATAAGACCGTGATACCAAAATACCAAAAACAGTGCCTATTTAGTACTGTTGTGCCTTTGAACGTTCGCAGATATTGATTAAGCGAGTACGACATAAATATGCATTCGTTCCTGCTGTAAAAGCTTGCTTAGTGTAAACACGTCTTACAGTCATGTGTTGCGTTGTTAGTCTTGAATCAACGCATTATTAATGTTCTGCGATTACGTAAGTTTAACTCCGTCTTTGAATCTGGGGATTCTCGATTAGGCGACAATCCCGGCGACTCCGCCATTTTTGCGGAAATCTTCCCACCTCAACAAGTTGGTGCGACAGGAGGTCCATGATTAATGGCCCCCATCCACCTGTACAAATAGTTATTTATAACGTCGAGAACCCTCGCTACTTAGCCTCTTATTTACATTTATTTCGATCATTAATTTGACTTTACCAAAGTCTCATTTACGCAGCTTAATTTATAAAGTTGTGGATTTATAGTAGAAGTTGGTAAGTTGTTTTATCTTTATGGTCGCTTTATTTCGAGCTTAATAAGTTTTATTACATATTCATAAGTATTAGGGAGGGCCTGTAATCGAGTAGATAAAAAGAAACCTCGTCGTCGTCGACTCCGGCGGTGGCCGCTTTGTTTCTCTTCGATTTATTTAAACATTTCTTCGGAATAAATAAATGCCGCCATATGTTTTCGTATGATAATATATTTTCCGTCTATTTGAATCGGGCTTTCGTTTTATTTTCATTTCGAGCTCATTTTTCTCGTATTTCTTTTTATATTCAGACAAAGATTTATACGCACTGTCAGGGAGAGAACCTTTTATATTAGGATATAATATTTTTTCATCTCCGCGGCGAACACCTTAACTTTATTAAGATTTAGTAATCTTTTTTATTACGATACACAAATTAAATACGAAACAGATTTATGCACCACCCCTTCCATTTCCCGTCCGGAAAACATAACGCCGTATAAACCGACTCCATATTAATAAAACTTCACGCCCTCTCAAGCCCTCATCGAACATCGAAATTGTATACGGCTTTTACGACGGCAACACTGTAAAATTCATACGCGCCAATATGGCGCACTTTAATGCCGAAACATTCTCATTATCGTGCCGGAGATGTAAAACACATTCGTCGTAAAATGCACTTAATATCCGACATTTCGGCGCATATTACCGCCCCCCGCATTCCACTTATGCAGAACTGGGTTCCGGGGCGAAAAATTCACAAGGAAGAGATGAGTAATTCCGTCCCAAAACGACGAATCGAACCATTTTCACATAAGATCTAATTGAAAATATAAATAAATTTACGACTGCTTAAAAATTAATAACCCAAAACTCGATTTTTTTTTAAACTCGCAACTCGCTTGATATTTATCATATTTTAAAAAATAAAAAAGAGTTTTAATTAACCTAGAGGGAATTTAGCACTGTTAGCATTTGTTTATTTTTCAGCAATGTTTTGTGTTCAGCTTTTTACAAAAAAAAAATAATAATACATTTTGGAGAATTTTATACAACAAATTCACTCCGGAAAATAAAACTGGATATGCATATGTGTGTCATAGATGGATGATTTTTTTTAATGACTACGGTTACTAACTGCCTCACTTCAACCCTTAGTTCTCTATAGCTTTTCGGTGTCGAGTGTTTTCTAAAGTGCTTTGGTCCGATGTTAATCTATTCCTACTTAGTATCTGACTAACCGTTGTATTTTGCTCTTTACAGTGTCTGCCACTTCGTTCTTTCCCACTTCTTTGTTGTCTCAAAAACTTTGCCAACTTATTTATATCTATCTGATCTACTCAGGTGTCCCAAATCAGCCTGTCTGAGACTGTGCAATTTATTACCAGGAGCTTTTTACTCCTTTTTGCTTCCCAAGCGTAATCTGGATGAATAATGTTTCTGGAAGTTTCATGACCCTTATAGTGCGAAAAAATAGGTCTCCCGTTTCCGTCTGTAAGTCTGCCGTCTGTGTAGATTTGTATTAGATTCGGTACCTTTATGTTTTCTTGACGTTTCAAGACCCCTAGAATACGAAACCGCCAGTTTCTTGTTTCTGTTTATCTGTCTGCCATTTGTCGTATGTCGTCTATACACGTCTGTGTAGACTTTTATTAGACAGATGATCTTCTAAACTACCGGACCGATTGTTGTCAAATTTGTGCATATTAGGAATATCCTGAGTTTTTACCTCAAGCATCGTAAGCATGGTAAATTTATAATCAAAATATATCTGATTATCCTCTCCAAAAAATTGATGACGTCATTTCAAAATTTTGCGAAGGAATCCTTCCGTAAATTGCAAAATATTGAATATATACTTTTGACTTATCATTCCATTCATATTTTTTAGAAT